CCAAACCCCTCAAAAAAAGAAAAAAAGGACAACATAGACCATTATTTTATACAAATAAATTATGCAAGCTGTGTTACAAATATGTGCAATTTTGAATGTAGATAATTTTGGGGAGCAGCTCTGTTGCACAACATTCTCTTTATTGACAACACATACACTGAGTGAAGCATGTTAAGGTAACCACTGCTAGGGAAACATACTTGAGTATCTGTCCCACAAGATTCGGAGTGAGGATTTTCCAAATTATAATCTTAATAGTAGAGAATTTGCTGACTCCATGGGCTTTAGAAAGTTACATTCTCCCTCCCACAGCTTACCGTCAATAACACAGAATGTCCTTCACAGTGATTATGTTGCTTATTCTGCTGCTGCAGAGTAAAGTGCTGTAGCTGAAAGAGACAACTGCTGCAAGACAGGGACCATCATCTTTCATAAAACCGCATCTTGATGCAATAAAAAAAAAAAAAGTAAAGTTTTCTTTTTATCATATTCCTCAAATACTAAAAGCAGTAGCCACACCACCACAATCATCACCGAATTTTAAGTCCTCTGCAGTATGGGACTTAAAATTAGACTGAAGTTATTTTGTTTATGTTGAAATCAGAACTTTATTTATAATTAATTGGTATAGAAAACATGGGGTGGTTTTGGATTTTTTAAGTCTGCCTTAACAAGTTCTAAGCTAAAAAGCACAAAATTTCAAAAACAAATGCATTATTAATTAATAGCCTCCCTGAAGAAAAATGAAGTAAAAATTTAAACTGTAATCTCAAGAGTAACTAAAATGATCAACAAATGTAGTTATTATTAATATGTAACATATGTAATACATATGCCTACTCAAAAAAAAAAAAATTAGAAAAATCTGAGTTTTGGAAACTTGATTCCCTCTACATGGAAGGTAAGGAGATGAATTTTACACTATGCATAAGAACCATCAAATTTCAGTACTTACATAAGAAACATACCAAACAGTTATATACCAATTAATCTTTGTCTTTTTACATACTGCCTCAAGACCAGTAGGAGCAGTCTGTTTCAATGAAGTCTTCTGGACAAACCTGATCACCTAAGACTATAAAGCTTTTCACTTTCATTTTTGGCATCCAGAAGAGAAGTATCTTGTGAAGTCCAGTGTCTAGGTGAACAACTTTTTATATTTGAAGAAGCAGCTTTTGGCTTTGTCACAAATAGCATATTCAAATAAAGCTTCTTCAAGATGAATTCTTTTGTCAATGAAAATAGAGATATGTAAGTTGTACATATATGAAAGACATCTACATATGGAAAAAACCCCATGCTTCCTATATAAAATGGTAGTAATTGCTAATGCAAGTTATTAATCTATCAAACATGCCTACTTGCTATTCAATTTATTTTTCAGATTCAGGATGACTGGAAATACGTTGCCATGGTAATCGATCGTATTTTTCTATGGGTTTTCATCCTGGTATGTATTCTAGGAACAGCAGGATTGTTTTTACAACCTTTGATGGCTGGAGATGAAATGTGAAGATTCAATACTATATTGTGAAATCAAATAAAACTTTTGCCAACCAACTCTGCACCCTGACCCCAGCACCTGATGTCTCTTCTTGTGTAATAGAATAAGGATGTCTCTTGGCCTTAACTTTGCTTGATCAAGAAGGCTTTGTTAAAAATGTGAAAACGTGGAGGGAAAAAAAAAAAATTTAAACCTTTACGCCAGCTAATCTCAACGTAATACGAGCTATGCTTGACAGCTACTTTTTGCAATAACTGGAAAAGATGTAGGTAGTACATTAAAATTTACAGGAATGATTTAAGAAGGGGTTGATAAACTGAAAATTACAAGAATACTTGGAAAGTCAAGACAGGTTGAATACTTTGGGCTACTAGATTTATTTCCATGAGTCTGGTGCCAAGTCTCTTCAGATCATGACAGGATCTTCTGGGAATAAGTTCATACTGAGTTCAATGAATGCCCTCATGAGGATGAAATGGCTTAGGAAGCATACTAGAATGCAGGCATGCTAGAATGTCTGCTAGAATGCAGACATTGCCACCTGGTGTATAAACTGCCTCAGTGGGAGGAAAGGACCATGGGCAGGTTTATTACAAAAGGAAAACAAATAGGTGAATAATAGATGATGGTAATAAAGCAGCCATAACGTAAATTCTGTGCATCCCCACATTTCAATGTATGAGAAGACTGTCAGAAGAAACAAGCTATTCAAACTAAGTAATGTTTAAAACTGTGTAGAAGTGAAACATGCACTAAGATGCAGTCCGCAGGTTATGCAAAGGATCAAAATGCTTTGATAGGATAGTTTGGATACAGAAGCATCCTGCTGTTGCAAAGTGTTTTATGACAAAGGAAGGCAGGTAGATACAAAATAGTCCTGTGAAGTATGCTAAAATTGCTTCTTAGGCATACTTTTTTTTTTTAGTCAGTAACTGCTGATAGTTTAAGAGCATGAATAAAGAATACAACAAAATATTGTACTGAGAAAATATTTTGTAAAAATATGAACTGTTCTCTCTGTACCAAACTGAAAACTTTTTGGAAATACAGTGTATAAAGTGATGTAACATTTATGAAAATAAAGAGAATCAAGCTGTTGAAAATTGTGCTTTTTTTGATTTATTTTGACCGAGTGACAAAAATCTATATAAGGTAGCATGAGCTACGGCTCAACACATTCAGAAACAAGTTACATAAGTAAAGGTCCATGCTTCTGAGAATAATTAAAATTACTTTTTTTCAGACACACCTGATGATAAGCTGAAGACCCCAAGGATTCTAGTGTCAGCTATCTTATCTGCATTTACCATGATGAGATTGTAGAAGTGACTAAAAGAAATTCATGCATTTGCAAAACTTGTGTGTTTGGGACTTCATTGGCCAGTATGCTGCCAGTCGCCTTATGATATAGTTGGGCAATCTGCAGACATCAATTAACAAGGGAAAAGAGGTGAGGTGGGGAGTTAAAAGAAAAATATATATAGCTAATCTATAGTTTTACTTTGCTTTCTGTTCAGATAGGAGTAAACTTCAGTAATTCAAACCCAAGGACTATAAAAAGCTATTTTGCATTTGAAGATGAAATAAGATACCTAAAGTATTTCTGCAGCTTCCACACAAAGTCACTGATGCATTGTTTAATCTTAGTAATACCAAGAAAGTTAAAATTATTATATTAATGGATTAAATCAGATAATCTCTGCAAATTCACCTTTAAATTTAATTATGATGGGAATAGAGGAAATATGGATATCCAATGCCAGATGTAATTGTATAGCTGATGAGGAAGAGTGACTCCCTTTACAATCAGAATTCTTTATAGGCTGGTATTAAAAACAAAATCAAAAAAAATAAACAAAAGGCTTGCCTGGCATCATTTCCCTGCCTGTGAGCCTTAAAAAGCTACACAAAACTAAGAATGTCCTACAGGTGAAAACAATTTGAAATTAATATTCAATCATATGTAAGTTATGACATAAGCAAACAGTATTATAATCAGTACAGTGCCAAACAGTGCTATTCTAAAGGAGATACAGGTGGGGAAGGGGGGAAGGAATACGTATCCATCTTCCAAATTCATAACTACTATAAAAACTTACATTATCAAAGATACAACAATTTACATTAAACTTCTCACCTAAACATGTTATCATTAATGTAGTAATTTAAGCAAATAAAAACTTCCCAAGACTTTTTCTAGCTTGGCATTACTGTATTAGCCCTGCAGGATGCAACTATATTAAGTACACTGACAAAACTTTGGTGTAGGAAAACTCCCATCTATTTTAGAGTCTCTTCCAGAAATAAAGCTTTTAAGAAAGATGGCATTGGAGTTAATATAAAGAATTTTAAATCAATATTTAAAGAACATATTTTAATGGAATAACTAAAAAGTTACAAGTTAGTTTTTAACAGTCTCAGAAAAAAGAAAGTATGGAAAGCTCTATGTCCTCGCTGCTTAGAGTTACACATGGTTCTGTAAGGGAAAGAACCTATTAAAGGTAGCTTTCTAAGTTTGGTTTAACAAATGTGTGAAAACTTAATCATCTGTATTTGGTTACACAGCATAATAATTTTCAACCCATTTCCTTCAGAAAGGCATTCCCCAAATTCCTTCTACCTATACTTAAAAACTTAATTCTGAGAAACACTCAAAGACAGGAAATGATTAACATGTTTGCAACTAACATACTGTATCAAATTCTTCATCAAGAATAAAGAAATCTGAATGTTCCAGTTCATTAGAATACTTGTGCAACTTGGGAACTCATTTAATTGTCTTTGCCTTCCTTTCCATAGCCGATACAGAGATATTGCTATACATGTATCCTGTAGGCATTTTAAGGCTTACTGTATTAAATGTTCATGTTAGTATGACAGAACTAACAAGGTTTTAAATTTAGCAGCAAATTCCACTGAAAATTTATAAAGGCAAAACATAGCAAAATCGCTATTTTTATTTCTATGTTGAATATATGGGAAGTGTAACTGGTATTTTTACTATTATTTTAAATTTTTAAAATTTATACTTTTACAACACATTCAAGAGAGCTGACTGAAATTCTCCTTTGCATACTATAGAAAATTGAAATAAGCAACACTACTGTGTAAGTATCTGCAAATATTTAATACTCAATGTAACAATTTCTATAGTAATTTAATAATTGGACTACAGTGATCATCATTAAAAAATTTTTAAATCCTCCTATTTTGCAGTAGGTGTCAGCGTATGCTTTTTTGACCTATCATACATGCAAGTGCTTGATAAAGTCCTTTTAATTCTGACCCGATTGAGAAGTAACTTAGTAGACTGGCAACAAGCAAATTGAATACTATGTGTCCTAGGGATGCCATGCTTTAATATAAATATAATTTTCTGGTTTGGGATTTTTTTTTTTACTCTATCAGAAACATGCCTACGAAGAACATGCAAGGAAATAGAGCTAATGCAAAACCCTTTAGAGCCATATTAGCAGGAGACAGATCCAAAAATATTTTATGCATTTGTACTGCCTATATGCGTAGGTACTATTATACTTGCCCATTTATGAATAACAGGAATAAACAACACAAGCGATCCAATTATTGAAACCAGAAGAAAAGTCCATAAGAACATTCGATCAAGCACCTGAGCAATGAATTTCCAGTCTTCAACAACCTAAAACACAAAGAGCATAAGAGTTGGTCAGTATGTGCTAGAACAGGTAAAAATACAGTACGAAACCCTGCAATTCTTAATCACTTAACAGCACACTTTTTTCCAATCAGGTCCATTTGGTAACCCCCTTTAATAACTTTTTATAATTACACTATGAGCTAGAACAGGAATAAACTTCCCTCTACAAAGACCAGTAAGCTACACAGACCAATATTAGATTTTAATGCAGAAACTGACCCTGACAATCACTGAACATCCTCAACTACAGAGAGATTAAACTAGTATGCAATTTTGGGGGATTTAGGATTCATGCCATTGCCTCATCATAAAGTGTAATTCCTGGGCAGGAGCTAGAAGCAAAAGTTGTACAAAAAACAACCAAACAAAAAATCCCTACCTGAATAGAAAAAAAAAATTTAACAGTAGACAGCAGTTGTTGTGTTACATACAAGATCTGAGAGCTGGGAAGTTACCACTGCACAGAATTACACACTAGGGAGAATACTCACAGTACTTTCAAGACTATTTCCCTTTTTGATAGGATTATTCATATCCATTCACAGTTTTGCAAGCACAGCAGATATACTCGTGCAAGCAAATTAAAACCCTGCCAAACAACTGTCTTTGATTTGAACTGGGGCTATCCACATTTCCCAAGCCTACTGCTTCCTAAGAGGTAAGGCTACAATAGCACTAGCTGTGTAGGTTTTACTAACAACTTCTGTAATTAAAGCTTGCATTCTCTGGGCCCCATATAATAAAATACAAGTGAATCCCCAGTCAGCTGTATATTAATTTCTGCAGTTTAGAGTCACGACAACATTACACCTGAAAACCAAAATATTTATTACCTCTCTTGTCACTCACTGTCAAATAGAGTAAGTTCAGCAAGAGAAAGAAAATCAACCCTTAATTCACTGGAAATTATGCATTTTATAGCAAACTATTCTATTTGTGTTGTTTACACAGTGCAGGGGTATTAGATGCTGGTTTAACAGTATAGTAGATACATATATTCAAAATCTAGGCTGGATCCCTTATGATAATACCAGAATTGAGTCCTGAGAAGGTACGTTACAGTTTGCTTACTCCTAGGCTAGAATGTGAGAACACACTCTCACCAACTTTTGAAGACAGACATTTCTGTATAAACTGAAAGAATCTCAGGCCTTGCCCTCAGACACAAATAGCAGTATCACGAGACCACACAACAACCTTCTGTACTTCTACACTAGCCTGAAAATAGCATTTAATCTTCTCATGTACCAATGGTGCTAGTTTAAAAAGCATGGAAAGAAAAAAGATTCATAATGCTCTTACCCAAATGGTGTAAACATCCATTAAGGATAGTTCAGAGTGCAAATGTACAAGCTGAAAAAAAGCCTTTGACATCTTTCGATATAATTTAGAGACAAGTAATAATAAGGCTAGAAGAGAACACTCAAGAAGTCATCCAGTCCATGTTAAACTAAGTTAGGGCATTAAAAATTGTTTTTATTTGGAATTGAAAGCTGTAAAATAAGGTTTAGCAGTATTTATTTTGAAAATGTAAAACAAATGCATTTTTCAGATAGCCATCAGATACAACATTAAAATGAAAAATACCCACTTCTCTCATCATGAAAATAGCATCCAGCAGCATTGTAAAGTTATGGTACATGTTCTTGTAACAGACAAGTATCTCTGAAAACGTGTAATTAGCAATATGAATTTACTTCTAGAGGAAAGGAAAAGACTTTAAAGAACCCAAGGACTGTATTTTATCAGCCCAATATCTGTAAGAATTCTCAGTATTGTACCATACTTGTACTTCTTTCCAGTACAAATAATTACACAGCTTCCAACGACGTACAAAAACTGGAAATCCCATAGCACATATTTAATATGCAACTGCATAGTAAACCATTACTTGGTTTTCTAATTTCCAGTTTTACAAAACAGTGTAATATGACTAATACACCCACCTCGCGAACTTCGTTCTCCTTCATAACATGTCTCGTAATGTATCGGATAGAATCTAGAGCTGCTTCCAAGGTGTTCCTAGATGATTCTGATCCATTCATATTTTCTGTTTCCTCCTTCGGAGCAAAGTATCTATCTACATGACTTCTCATGCAAAGCAGCTTGGGAAGTTTGTGAAGAAATATCTTGCGAACCCAAGGTGCCATAGCATTGTGCGTAGACGAAGAGCGATGATGAATATTGATAGCAAAGACAGTTATTACAATGGACAATGTCACAAATATCATAGTAAACACCAAGTATTCGCCTATAAGTGGGATAACTTTAGAAGATGATGGAATAATCTCTTCAATAACAAGAAGAAAAACAGTCAAAGATACCAGTACTGAAGTGCAAAGCGAAATTTTTTCACCTTCATTTGAAGGAAGATAGAAGACAAGGACAGTTAGAAACGAAAGCCCAATACAAGGAATAATGAGAAACAACGTGTAAAAAAGTGGCAAACGTCTAATTATAAATGAATACGTTACAAAAGGATACCAGCAGCATCCATCAGTCCTGTTTCCTTTGCTCCCTGTTGCAGTCACTATTTCCCATTCTCCATTATCAAAAAAGTCTCTTTTGTCAACATCATAATCTTCAAGAATTATATCAACCTGTGAGCCATCGTAAGTCCAGGAACCAAATTTCATAGAGCAATTTTGGAGGTCAAAGGGGAAGAAGGTTACATCAATAGTACAAGAACTTTTGTAGTTTGCTGGTGGAGTCCAAGCAATGGTGCCATCATATTTAACCACAGTTTTTGTAGATGTTCCCTCAAAACGACCATCTGCACTGAAAGAAAAGAGATACATGCATGCAATTAAAATGGGGGTGGGGGGTGTGTGGATGTGTATTTTTAAATAAGAAAATATTTGTTATTGTCATTTCAGTTGTTTACCCCTTCTCCTTTATAGCCAAAATTTTGTATTGTGTTCATAGTCTTTTTTTTTTTTTTTTTTTTAAATCTGAGTCTCACACAGGTAAACAGCATTGGAAGAGTGAATAATGTTTTCAAGTGATGAAAAGATCTGTGCAACTTTCTATGGTCCCAATGACTCATGAAAGGATTGTAAAAATCCTGACCCTTAACAGCATGTGCTAAAACATTGCTTTCTAAGTAAAAAAAAAAAGAGTTTACATAAAGAAGCAGAAATAAACTTTTCAAAGAGACTAGAAATTCCATACAGAAGTAAAGCAAAACATTTAAGCATTTAACATGGCAACAAAATCCATTTACATTCAGAGGCAAATTATTCCACACATTCTTACCTCTTCTAAATGCAAAAACATATCTATCCAATGAGCCTCCTAGAAGCAGCTTGGATGGTAAAGTTAGAAGGTAAATGTATTTTATATGAAAAGACTCAAAGCTTACTTGTCATACAACACAATATCTGGAATCCAAATAGAATCTGATGGGACACGAATAGATGTTATTCCAGCATAGTCTTCAGGATTCCATCTTAATTTTACATCTATCCATTCCTGTGGATATGTGAGATGTAAAAATCATTATTACTGTGAAGATGATTTAAGCAGGGCAAGACTGGATGAAAACAGATAAAAAGGCAAGTAAAAAAACCAAAATAAAACAAAACAAATTTGCTTCTAAAATTTGCATACAACAGTGAATTTGCTGAACAGACATCTATTTACCTTATCCAATATTTGTTTTCTGTTATAAGCGCTACCTGACAGTATTTCTGTACAGACCTTAAGATATTTAGATATTAGAATCCTTTTTTCAGAGCATGTATACATAAGTAAGAGCTATTATAACGCATAGACAATTAAATTTGAAAAAAGCATGTTCTGAATGAATATCAATGACTTTGGAAGCTGCTCAGAAGCAATTTAAACATTTTCAACACACACAAAAAAATCATGCTGCAACTCTAACAAGATAGTCGTTCCTCTTTCTACCAGCAACACTAAAAATAGCACCATTAAAAGCACAGTAGTGCTTTGGTAATTTTACACTTGAACTAAAAACTCAAGAGGAAAAATTCAAGTTTCTAAGAATTCACCACCACATAGAATTTTAAATGCACATTCAGGTCAGTTCTTACTTTATTTGAACTGGTTCAATTGCAACAAGTTCTGCAGAAACTATTAAGAGGGCAGAAAGTGTTATCATCAACATATTACCATCTCATACTTGCTGAATAGTCTCAAAGTTTTCCTGCAAAGAAAAATTTTGCCTGAAATTACAGTCACTGGAAAAGAAGGGAATGCAAAGCAACAGGAAAAAAAAAAAAAACAAAGGAAGTAGCCCCAACAAAAATAATCTAGTAAGCTAGTAAGTATAATCGGGGACTGCAAACATTCTTCTAAGCTAAATCAAGAATGATTTGTGAGCAGCATTTCCCAAGTTAATAACGCCCATTAAGTTTAGCACTGGACTCTGATTATTATAAAGCTTGAGGCTTTTTCCTGCCCATAAACAAATATTCTTAAGAGGAAAAAGTAGATCTTTATAGCAAGCATATACAGCTTTGAAAATTAAGTTCTTCAGTGATGTTTATCCAATAATCTCAAATACCCTACAAGAGAAAGATCTTAAAATTATTATACAAAAGACTACACAAATCCATACTTTCTTAAGGTAGTTTTTGAAAGAAAACTTATGTAGTGAAGCAGTAACTTTTATGGTTGGATACACGCACCTTGGTATATTAAAGGGGCATGCAATGCCATACCAGATTTCTTTTAATTAGGTAAATTTTTTAAATTTACCTTTTTTTGTTTCTTTGCTTTTGTTCAAGAGTTTTATAACAATTAATCCTTTAAAGCATTTCCAGGGACATTTTTTAAAGACACTATGTGAAACAAAAATTCATGCAAAAATTAAGATTTTTTGAATATACAATTAATTAGAGAAGTTTCTTCCAACTTTTGACTTGCAGTTATAAACCTTCAGAATTTTTATTGATATTTTACACATACCTGTTTCAACCAGACATTTGTTGTCATCAATTGATTTTTCTCATCCTATAAAAATAAAGTATATTTTATAAAAAAAAATCTGCACATTTAGAGTAACTAGCCGCTTTAGTTCACAGATCTACAATTTAAAATACAAAACACACTGCTAAAAGCAGTCCAGTCACTGATAAGAACGTTTATATGAGAACTTTTTAAACATACAATTAGGCCCTTTGATTATTTAACTGTTAAAAGCAGTATTTTTCCCCTTTTGTGTCTCTTTCCTCCCTTCCTTTTTTTTATTTGACTGTATTTTATGCAGTCTTACTGTTTTTCTATGGAAACATAAAGGAACAGACAACACATGGAAGAAAAACTCATAGCTATAAACAGTGAACTCAATTTGAAAAGAATATTCTGAAGTGAATAAGTATCAGGGAAAAAAAATATCTGGTTGATCTCTTTTACACTACAGGTAATGCCAAGAGATAATCTTCATTACTATGGAAGTGACATATTTCAAGGCTTAGGGGTTTTTTTGCTGCTTAAGCGGGGGGAAAAAGAGCAGAATTGGCAAGCGTTCCTGAATTTTACAGAAATGAGATTGACAAAGTTTAAAAATACATGGTCTTCCCACTCAATAAATAAATTAAAACACAATTCCCTAGGCTTAAGAATTTCACTCACTTTTTTTTTTTTCCTGAAAACGCCACTAAAGAGCCATTTGTCTTCTCAACCTCTTTGCAATCACTTCTTCATGTCCCCATCTCCAATGCATTTTTTATTATGCTGATAACAATTTTAGATATTTAATCTACTGTGTTTAAGCTAAAATATGCACAATTATTTCATACGACATTATGTTCCAGAATTTTAAAAATTAGGGGGAAAAAATAAACAATGTATTTACTACACATACCACATCTACTAGCTGAGAGATTGCAAGGCCAAACTTTATTTTTATTGTGTCATTCAAGCGTTCCACTGGACGAACCCATCTTTGATAGTCTTCAAATAAATGTTTAAACAAACGATCTTCACTTCTAGCAATAAAAGAAGGTTCAGACGTACCTATACAAAAAAAAGTAATTTATTAACATTGATTTAAGTGACCAGTGTACATCTGCATTCTTGTGTCCAAAGAGCTACAGCTATGTTTACGCAGAGTTAAATTTCTCATCTTATTCCCTTTTCTCTGGAAGCACGGCCAAGATCTCGGAAGAAGAATTTTATAAAATTAACTGGTTTTATTAGGATCATTCATTATTCATACCATTCATACCATTATCACACTTTTAAAATCTATGGCTCAAGAACATTAAGATAATTTTAGTAATAGTAAAGGCAAAATGCACTTATATCATTTGCCTGGTGTCACGCAATTATGGAACTCCTCTAAAAACAAAAGCTTATCTAGGAGGGACTGAAGTTCTATTATTCTAGAACAAGATGGTACTTTTTAAAAACCTACATCCACACTATACACATCCCTAGTATATCACAGAACTTGCCCTCCAGTTTGAAACATCAGTCCCTTCATGTTTTATACATGATTTCTTCTAAAGTTTGGTCACATCTGTGATGTATAAACTTTGCAGTACTTGCAGAGCACTTTTTCCCCACGCTGTTTTGTATCTTAAACACACATGCCAATCTATTTACCAGTCTATTCCCTACCTATTCTAATGTTGTATTGACTGGAAGGCACCTTTTCAGTTAAATAATAGTATACATTCCGTTACTTCTTTTCCATAGTTCTCAAGGAGACATTTCAATGCCTGGAGACCAACTGATGACCTGGAAGAGCCAAAAGTCTTTGTATAGCTTACAAAGAAGTGGAAATTGTATGTCTTCTATTATCTCCTGAGAGAATGGAATACATGGCAGAGCTTTGGAAATAAAAAGTACTGTAGATGCAGAAACTGCAGGCAGAGAGCAGCCTGGACTTTAAAATAGATACAGAAGTTGTCCTAAAGCACCTCATCGAGTAACTGCTGTCCTCTATCTTTGGGAATCGACAAAAAAAAATGAGCTTTTTACCAATGTGGTCTCATTGAAGTGTATCAGTTGAAGTCCTGCTACCCAAAAAAGGCAAAGTTTAAGGTTTCTCCATTATGAGAACCCATGCAAAAAATTGTATACCTTAAATAACAAAAGGAGGACAAACTTGGGGAAGATATGGAGAGAGGAGAGGAAAAAAGGCAAGATCAGTGTCTAGCTAAGTAATCCAAGTAAGAACAGCTTTCAAAGGCAGTGTGAAAGACCTGAAGAAGGCCACCACCTCACGAAGCAGCTCAAACTACACACACCACCTTGAAGGGAATGGCTCCAAAAGGGTCTCCAATTCCCAGACAGAAGTCAGAGCAACCACCAGAAGACGTGAACATACATACGCTCTAGACAAAGATTTCTACTACTCAGTAATGAGATTTAAACTGACTGAAACAACTGCTGAAACAAGACCTAACAATTATTATAGTCAGTTTAAGGAACAGAGTAAACCAAAGACAGATGTTCACAACCATCTCTTTTTAATGCAGATTTTTAATATTATACTATTACATAAATGTATGGCATCATCTCTCTAGAAATGATGTGCTCACTAACAGTATCCATCTAAAAAAAGATGTATCAGAAACAGATAAGCAATAGAGAATGTCATAAACAGATTAAATACCAGAGACAGTCACCCATACAAGGAAAGATTAAAAGATTAACAATATTTTGTTTGGAGAGGAGGTGAATTTAGTGAACATAACGGAAGTAGATAAAGTAGTGAACAATACATGCAGAAAAAACACTGATGGTATTTAATCTTTCTCCTAAAAGAAGGTAAAGGAAACAAAAGCATCAATTAAAGGTAGTATAATCAATTTCTATTTAAAGTTCACTACCATCAACATTCAGTAAATCAGAGATTATTAGATATTGAAGAGGACTAAAATTTTGGAATTGTCTGGGATTACCAAATTGTCAGTTATGTCAGGTAGTATCATACTTCCATAGGTTATCAGTTCTCATTTCAATGCAACTTGCCAAATCTACCTCAGAATTTGGTCAACAGTTTGATGGCTTGCATTTGTTGCAGAGACTTGGCTAACACCATTTAAGCCGTTAATTTAGATGGACCTCAGCTAGTTCTACGTGACTGCAACCACAAGCCTAGAGAACTAAGACAGGCAACATTAAGTTTTTAAGTTCCTTCCCATTCATCAAAGTGCTTTTGTGACAGCAGCGGCTTTCTGCTGTGCTGCAAAAGGCTGCATTTACAGATCCTTTGGATGAAACACCCAAAGCACTGCAGAGCCCAACCACAAGAGAATTCCCTGCCTTCTGCACTGCATGTTTGGGGCAGTCTAGTAGAACTATCGTTATGAATACTAACTGGATTTTCTCTGGAATTTTACAGTAGGAGCAAAACCAGAATGTAGCTTCAGGAACTGGATCAGCAAAGTGGGAGCAGCAAGACTCTTTCTCCCCCCAGATCTTACCATACGCCAACATGCTGCTGAATGGTTCTTGTCGCAGGCCAAATCAGCATTTGGGTTTTAAGACAGTTTACTCTTCTGTTTCAATATACAAATCTGTATGTTTACACTGTATTTCATTCATTTGCAAACCTATTGTTCTTTGAGATGTATTATTTGTACATGGTCTACAATTTAACATCTATTCCATTTCAAGATTGTTGACATGTGGGTTGTGTAATAGAAAAGAACTGATGGGCAACTTGGGATGTACCACTGAGCATACCTCAGGTGGATACATGAAAACACACAGGCCGTACGAATTGCTGCCAAAAAGCATCCAGCAATAGAATGTTATGCACACACAAGTTACCTTCACAGCTATTATGTTAAAATAATTTTTTTTCAATTTATATTTTTATATATTTATATTAGGCTCAGTGTATCCTCACTAGCCAAGGAATTTTTCTTATTTCTAACTATACATAGATTTGCCAAGTCCTGCTTTTTAGACATCCAAAAGAATGCTTCTTGAAGACACAACTTAATTTCTTTATTTCAATATCCCTATTTCCTGAATCATGAATGGCTTTGTGTATATTTCAGCCTAATGTTTCATAAATACTTGGGGCTTGTATTAGCATTAATTACATTTCCCCTTTACAGTTACGACTCTCAACTGAATTTTTTGTACAATTTGAGAATGACTATGCAGCTGGGTATTCTCTCTCTCCATTAATTGACCTTGAAGCAATGCAGAGGCAAAGTTGCACTTTCACCATTTCTGTGTTCCTGTAAGATGACCTCCTGTACAGCAATACAGTATCTTCAGAGTACATGCTGTTTCCAGATTAAGCTCCTGTTAAAACACAGCATCTTCTCTGCTACGCTAAATGGGGACACGCTCCTTTACCACTTTTATATACTTACAGACTTTTTTCCCAAACATTTTATACCCAGACCTACAGTATACTCACTGATTTATTAAGATGACCATATTTACTAACAATATAGTTCAACTATTTTTTTTTTTCTATCACACAAATATCCACACTTCTTCATATTTGAGTTTATTCTGTTTATTAGTAAGCTGGGGCATGCTGGTCTATAAAAGGAAGTTTATACAAAAGAGAGCTCCATGAAGAGGCTGGAGATGGTAACAATATAGTAAGAGTCGGCAAAAATAAAGTAAATAACCACCCCTACCTTTCCGTATTTTAATAGGACCACTCAGCTCACTGTTACATAGACTGCATGTGTTTAAATTCTCTTGTCCGTGTGTCTGTATGCTTTTAGGATTATTATAAAGGGTGTAATTCTTAGTTACTTATTGGTATTGGCACCAACAAAAAAAAATGGGTTTTTTTAGGGAGGGAAGCAAAAAAAAAAGTACAGAAGAGAGGAAAAGAGGTAAAATACAGTTAGTGGCTTAAGGCAGCAGACTGGCTATGCTGGTTGGAGAAAAGCAGAAAGAGGTTAAAACCCATGACTAGCAAGATTAGCAAACAAACAACCCGGAGTACAAATCTCATACTAGATCAGATGGTAAGAGATTATGGAAGCCCTCACCCCTGCTACTAGTTCACTGTACTAAAAAAGAAGATTTGAAGCCTTTGAAGGGCAATTCTAAGCACGCCTGTATTTGTGTGGCTTTATTTCTGTTGAGGTCAGGTAACTTCTGCAGTCTAAATCAAAGGTAGCTCTCTGTATTATTCCATGATAAATCCCAATGACAATGTTTACTTTACAATTTACACCTGAAACTCTTCTCTACCCACTCCCTCTCAGTGGGATTCCATGTTCAGCAAAAAAAACCCTAAATCACGTGAGAAAATGCTGGATGGCCGAAATTTGAATTCTGCAAAAAGGAGACAAACATTTATGCACAAAGCAGACTAATGATTCAATTTTTTTAAACTTTGAAGTAGTTGGAGCACACTTTTGATAAAATGGTATGTAGAAACTCTAATTAAACACTTGACCTCAGACAAATTTCTATTTAAAAATTCAGTTCCACCATTTCCTCCCTAAACATCTAACAAAGTTGTTTAATAAAAGTACTTTGGAAGAGCTATTTAGAAAAGCTGCAGCATCACATAGGTCTCAGACACATGAATAGCATGACAAAACATGCACATGTCTATTCATTTTGTTAACATTCTCATGTCAAAATTTCACTAGTGCTGCTAATGGCAGACTTTTTAAATGCTTCAGATAAATTACAAAAGTGTTATTCTTTTGTAAAATCTGTCTTTTTACATTGTTTCTTATTGTACCATTATGGAATGAAATTTCTTAGCATCTTAATATGATTTAACAGCAGTATTCTAAGATTTACCAGTGAAATACTTAGTGTTACAGCTATACCTCATACCTTTCCATAAATTTGTGTTTGTTTTTAAGTGACAGAACATCGCAGTCCATGTTTCTCCAAAGAATAAACTTTCTTTGAACTCTATATTCCTCTGCACTTCCTTAGATAAAGTGTCTAAGAACCACATTGGGATTGCAGGTATAACACTGGTCCTTGATACTTTAAAAAATGTAGTTCAAAGCATTTTCTAGTTGATATAATTGAATGTTAAAGATCTCA